GTTTCGAAATAAGACAAATTGATCGTTTTCACGAAGTTACATCAGTTCTTCAAATTCGACAATTCTTCATTTTCATTGGCACAGTTACACTCTTCACTGTATCTATATAAAAGATTGTTACACTAGGAATTTTTTTTTTTTATTTTGTAGATAAAGTATGAACAAAAATGTCATCGAGAGAAATTCTTGGTGGGTGAAATAAAAAAAAAATCACTATAATATTAAGAATAGGAGAAAAGAGATTCTTCAAGGTACAAAAATTATCGACAATTTTTCATTGTCATTGCTATTAATTATACTATTCACTGTATATCTATATAAAAAGTTATTACACGAGGAATTTTCCTCTCATTTTTTTCAGATAAAATATGAACAAAAATACATTCATGGAACTTTTCGTGACATAAAGTAATTAAACAAACGATACCGAAGGTTTGAAGAAGAGATTATTCTCCAAAATACAGAGAATTTTTCATTATGCAATATAACAAAATCACGGATTACTGGAATGCATTACGCTGATAATCGGCTTGATTGCTTTCCCTTCGTTCCGTTCTCGACGAAAACGAAGGAAGGAAAACACGACGAGACAGGGCGCAGTTTAGACAGGCGACAAAAATTCTATAAATATTCCTCCTCCTTTCACGGCGAGACGCGAAACTTTCTGCAAAGCTTGAAAAGCTGGCCGGAGTCTATGTGTTTTCCTCGTGGACACGCACGCAAGGGTGCAACCACGTCGGACGAGATCTCACCGACATGACGTGGAGAACTTTTCCCCTCGAAGTTTGTTTCCTTGAGGATCTCGCGATTCCGGCTCGTTCGCACTGATCGAGTTAAAAAACAACGAAATGAAATTGTTACCGGCTAAATCGTTAATTCGTGCCGTGTCTGATTTAACCTGATTCCTCGGACGCGAACCGTTTATCGCGTCGCCTCGATTTCGTTCCAATTTTCCAGGTTTATAAAAGCACTCTTCAAACTCTTTACACTCTCATAATTCGAGTTTTGATGGACACATGAGAAATTGTACTTTCTTTCTTTTTTTTTTTTGAATGCAAGTTTATTTTGATATTTCGATCGAATTTTTTGACGTTGTCTCGAGCTTAATGCAATGAATACGATATTTGAAAAGAAAGCCAAGAATATCCTTCGTTATCGAGGAAAATCTTTGTTATCGTCACGAAATATTGTGTATCTGTAGCTAAAATACGTGGAAGAATTATACGAAAAAGACGAATAATATATATATAATATATATATAATATATAATATATAATATATAATATATAATATATGGTATATGGTATATAGTATATAGCATATAGCATATAGCATATAGTATATAGCATATAGCATATAG